TTTCTTCAGCATCTGCATATTTGTCGCAATATAGTTTCTTCGATGATTCACTGCCAGAGTTGTGCTTTACTTATCCTTTCTTATCAACTGATATTCAATGTAGAGACAGTGAAGGTAGTTGTTGATAACTGTCTTCAGACGACTGTCGTCAGTGCTTCAAATGACATGCATACCATATCTCTCAACAATATAAAATGACTGATTCGACACTGGTGCTGAAAAATCGAACTACATTCTGTTTGCTTGGTGCAACAGATTTTCATACCGATTTGAAATTAATGAAGGTGTGTCTTGCTTTTTGATTCTGTCTTTCAAACATATATCCGTACCGCCCGCTTGCAGTTGAAACTATGCCTCTCGGATAAGTAAAAGTAGCAAGTTTCTTCTAATTTCTTAAGTTGATGGTGATTGGTGCTTGTTTTTATTGGCCGGCATCTTAATCGCCTGTGTCTTCTCTATGTTCACTTGAAGTCCTGTCTCCAATGCCAACTTCGTTTTCACTTGTTGTTGTATAACATCACACTTATCTCCGAATTCCGAATCTTTCATTGTCTTCCCGTCGGTCTATGCCTGTTTTCAAGCTCCACACAGTCTGTTGTTTCATTTATTCCACAGCAAGCAAAAATATTATAGGTGATAATCGAAAGCTTTGCTTCACACCTGTCTTCACTTCAAAGGCTTCAGTGAGTTTCCAGCCGTTATTTACTAAGTAAAACTATTGCAGTCAAGAAAAAATCCTGAAGGCATACTAGAATTCTAGAGTGCCTTCAGAGAAATATTAACTTCAGATGGTAAAACATCTACAGAGTTTAACACTGAAGTAGACATTTCTGAGCTTACATAGTGAGTGCTGACCAACCACTTAACATTTATTATCATTTCGTGAGGTAAACTTTAGCTTCTTTTGTGAATGGTAAGAGAAATTTAACATTTCCTCGACGGAATATCTTTCACAGCTGATTTTGTTAATGTTAGAAAGTAAAACAGTCTATAACACGATCAGTTAGCTCTCACTAAGAATATCATATAAAATTTAGGGAATTTCACTGCTGATATGTGTACCTAATGAAAAGAAAATTGATAAATTATCGTAAAGATGGCAATAGCGAATAGTTTCAGAAAATCCTTTATACAATAATCGGTGTAAGATTCAGTGTAGTTTCTCCTTTTGATCTTAGGGAGGATAAATTCCAATCTCCCACACTTTAAAAGCTACTCTTCAACGAGAATGTAAGTATTTACTGAAGTAGAATACTCTTCAACGTTTTACAATTTATTATCTTTGAAAAAATTGTGAAAATGAAATTTAGAATAATACTTAGTATCTTTGTTGTTTTTTTTTTATCCTCAAAATCAAGAGTACACACTAGTCTACTCATAGGTAAATAATAGTCCGTGAGACTCTATTGGATAAAACCAATTCATAAAGATGTCGCTTCTCTACAATAAGTGATTCAAGTTGTGTGAATTGGTTTGTTAACTCATTTTACAATTTCTCTCTCTTGAATACCACTCAAAAATAACGTTCTGTTAACATAACAATTTCAACGGTTCTCTATTTGTAAAAACTTATTTTGCTTGTTTTGTTTTTTGTTTTTTTTTTGTTTTAAGTGACTGACTTAATGGTAATGAAAGTTATCGCTTTTCATTTATTACAATTTATAGTAGTGATAAAGTGTGGTTCGGGCTTATATAAGCTCTTATTTCTAGCAGTTTCTGTGATGTTATCTCTACCTTTTTAATTGTTATCCTCTTTTGTCGTTGAATTTATCACACATATACACCCGCCTCTTCTGAAATATTAGTATTTTTCATTCCTCACCTGTCTACTCACTTCCCATGGTCTGCCACATGAACTAGTTCACCAATAATCAATAATATCATTGGTGATAATAGGAAGCCTTAGCTTAGCCCTAGTTTTTACCTCTAAATCTTCACCACATAGCTGCAGAAAGCGATTTATATTTGCCAGAATACTACACGGTTGACGCTGTTAAAGTCAGTGTAGTTGAAGCAAAGAGTTCACTGTAGTTCCATTCACTGTTACACTGTGACAACCACAAATAATGCATACAGTCTATGGCAAGACCAGATTAAAAAGTAAAAAAATGTCCTCCGTTATTTGATCGTTTCCTAGATGTTACTAGGTTTACTTCTTCAAGTCTCTGTGAAACTCGTTCATCAACCATCCTAAATTAGGTGGTGATGAAATCTTTTTTGCATTCACCATATAATAAGCACACTAACATAGAATTACTCTACTACTATCAGTGTCCGAATCTAACATATAATATTATAAATTTAAAGAATTTTCTTTTCAGGTGAAATACGGTGTTTTCACTAGTGTTTCAAAATAAGCGATACCAGAACAATGGGAATCTACGCCCAAAAAATACTTCACTCTGTGGATATAGGAAAAAAGAATCCTCATACAATTGGTGGATGGTGGCTAGCAGTGGAATCCAGGATGCGCATTTCGTCCTAATTGGGACTCGTCAGCTGGATGTACCTGCATTTCTCAGTGAGTGATGATGTTCCCACCGAGGCTCGAACCCAGTGCCCACTGCTAGCCACCATCCACCAATTGTATACAAATCAAATCCCCAGACATCGTCGAAGCATCTGCACAAGAAGCCGACATGTCAACCTGAGACCGAGCACTGCGGTCCAATCAATCGACAGGAAAATCAAAAATTCAATTCAAAAAGAATTCTCTGTGAGAATTTATTTAAAATTAAGACTTTGATGATCGCCTTGCATTGTTCTGCTGTATCTTGCAGTCGCATTAATAAGCCTTTTATTTCGAACGCTGACAGTCTTGTGGTATTACAGATAAAGTCTGTTGTCATATTTCGTCCCTTTTCAACTTCTTTCCATGATTCTCAATATAGTTTTTGTGCCACCACACCTTGACAGATTTTCTTCATACTGTGTTTAATCCACGGTTAATTTTGACTTTAATTTCAATGTAATATTTTTACCATATGTGGGATGTTTATGCTTTCTACTTAACTGATGCATTTATAACTGGAGAACTTGATGAAAAATTTGCTAACAACACTTGTTCGCCTTAATTATTCTTATTTCGAGTAGGAAGAATACTTCACCTTACAAACATTTTATTGCCGTAACCGGACACTTAGTACTTGTACTGCTTGTTTGTGAATACCAAGATAAAATTTCACTTCATAAGTACAACACTATATACACGCTTAGCTGGAGATGTTGCGTGACCATTAGAAATTCCTTTTTGAAGTTAATTTCATCTCCAACAATTATATAATGACAGTTTTATTATGGGACAAAGTGTTTTCATACTGTACAGAAGTGTTGCTGTGTGATTTATTGCATAAATATTTACAGGATCTTCAAGTAAAGTAGTAATTGAAAGTATATCGCATGATGTGTTGTTATTCAGTGTGATGCGATAGCCTTCCTTTCTGTCCTTCGAGAAGGGCGTGCGAGAACATTTTACAACCAAAGTAATTAAGTGAATGAGATTAAAACGATAGGCGACGAAGCAGATTTCATCCATTATTTTAGCTGGAAACTAAGGTAACCTTGTAATTTAAGCAGTTCGTGTCTATCGCCTACTAATAAATTCGGCTTTGTAAAGTGTGTGCGTCTTCACGAATGACCACAAGAATACAAACTAAGTTGGGATATGCAGTGATTTCCATCTCCCCTTTCTATCACTTAAACAAAGTCAAAAGTGAATTTTATAATCCTTGATTTGATACAAAATGGAATAATGGAAGTTACTGGCTTCGAAGCCCGGTGGGCGCGTACTATTAATGCGTCCCAGGCTAGGACGAAGCAGCTTTTCAGTACTTTTTGGTTTTTATTAGTTCTCTAACTGATATCAACTAGTTGATAAACTAGGGAAAACAAATAAATATCGGTTATTTGGCATACTTACTGACCGCTATTTCTGCATACACCTTTAATGAACGCGTCAGATTAGTTATTCTCTTAACAACAAGTCAGACATTTTACTCGTCCATTCATAATTAAATATGACTGAGAAAGTTGTCTTTATTTTTTATTTTATGCTTCTAATTATTTATTGGTAATGATTCATTTTCCTCTGGGTAATGAATAATTGATTTTTACATATCCTGACTACTAATCATTCTGTTAAAAGCTTGACATGTTGTGGTAAGCATAAATCTGAAATACTATACTATTGCGACTCACAGTCTCTTCATCCTGATGGCTATATATATATATATATATATATGTATAATTGTATTCTGCTGGCGTCAGTTAAATACGAAAGACTGTCATGCAGACAACCATCCAAATTTCTACTTCACACCCATACGAATCATTAGAATAAGAAGAAGCCAGATCTTTAGTCTTCATTTCTTTCGTTGGCACTACCTTAGTGAATAAATGCATTTCTAAGCGATTTTTTTGTGTACAGTCAGTTTATGAAGAAAAAACTAACCAACAGTAGGATAACTGATATCAGGCATTAAAAATAAACAACACAAAAAGAAGTATCTTAGATAATATTCCTAATTATGGAGAATAATTTTTGGCTTGTAAAAATAAACGGGGAAATATATATATATATATATGAAAGTAGTCAAAATTCCCAGATATACAGATATACTTTGATCATATTTTCTATTCAGGAGAGGAAAAGGTGTTGGCGTTAATCGTCTGGCCTGCACCCCGCGTTAAATACATTGTATAAAATCAGAAATAATAATAATAATAAATTTACAAAACCCTTGTAGGTGTGTCTTGCTAAGGTCATTTTCTTTCCACCACACACATACACACACACAACAAAACTTCATAATTTGTGTGTACTCATCATAGTGAAGAAGAAAAACTGGAAAATAAAACTTCTTTGTTCTTCGCCATCTCAGCATCTTCAGTGTTCTGTCTCAGAATCTGTCTGAACAGGAAGTGGCGCTGTTTTTTTCTTATGTGGGTAGGGGTGATTGTTTTATAATCATGTATTCATTTGTTACAATCTATAAAAAAATTCATACTTCAGTGGAAGTCAACATCTCCAAGTCTGTTGTAATCTGAAATTCGTCTAAATTTGTAAGATTCTCATGAATATTGTTGGGAGCAGTATTCACACAATTAGTCTGATAATTAGGCGTAAGCATATTATACATCATATTATTGTTTTTATAGACTGATATCTGTTGATGAAGATTTTCTTGTTGTACTGGAGTGTTAGTATTAGGGAGGAGTGTATTCCACTCTTGACCATTGTGCATGGAGTAAACAGGACTTTGATACTGCCCAGTATTCAATGGTAAGTGATTAGATGATGATGATGTTGATGGTGACGAATTGAGGTTATATCCTCTCTTATTCTCATAGTTGCTAGTACTCAATGTTGACAGATTATAGTTCTGAGAACTTGGTTTAAACTGGAAGGTAAATTGTGGAAATGAGGGAAAGCAATTCGTTTAAAATCATATCACTCACAACATTTAGTCTTAATACCATCGGTCACCTGGATACAAACATATTAGGTGGAAAGGCCATCACCAAGGCTACTACTAGCTACTACTTATCAAGTAAAATTTATTTAAAAATTACTATTGTTTTAAATCAATCACATGTAACCAAATGATATTCATCTGCATGGTTTCACTTCTAAACCAACCTCCTGAACTCTATGGCAAAGTAATAAGGCGTTTAGGTATGGTATTTTACACTATTGATTAAGAGAAATAGCTGGAAAATAATCGGGTCATTTGTGAACAATATTGTAAGCATAATGTGTTACACCTGAGTGATTTACCCTTATCAGTGTGTACTTTTATTGAAAACCTTAAGTGATTAACAAACAAAACTGTCCTTCTTTCAAATTATATTCAATTATCAACTAATGAAAGTGAGAAATAATCTATCTTTAACCCAAAATTATCAGCTTCTATTATCCTCTTTTAGCATTCCAAATGAATTTTTTTTAATTTTTAATTTCTGATTATACCTTGATTCCATACAGTATTTTGGTACGAGTGTGGAATTTTCAACCTCTGATATCGATAGCCCAAATTTAACAGGCCGACCATTGATTCAGGTATGTGTCGGTTGGCTATCAAACCCCGAACCATGCGCATGGTCGGCGAGCGTCCTAACCGTTGTGCCACCGACGCACAACATGAACACCTATATGCCAGAACTGCCGGCCCCTTAAAATTTCACACCCTAGCCTCCAAGTAGCTAGGTCACAGGTGTACGCCACCACGGCTTCTAATTGATAAATATCAATGAAAGAAATAATAATTGGAGCTAGGTTGAATATATCAATCGAACCAAATGTTTGTCATTTTGAACTGCGAGTTCTTACAACCGTTGATTATAAAAAAAAAAGATCTCAAAAAAACTCTATTCTCGAACATTCGATAGCCTCTGGACATTGAGCGAGCTTACAAACCAGCTTCAGAGTCCAACTAGACGAAGTAGATGGAAATCTCACCAATAGAGTACTAATCAAACATAAACAAACTTCAAATACATCGCCTTACAAGTTTAATCAATAAGAAGTATTCACATGCTTACTGTTCGACAGAAAAGTTAACTTAACTGCGTGTCACTAAATTTAACTCATTCATAACCGTGATTAAGATACTATTGTCCATTCTTACAATAAAAAGGAAAACGTTTTCAGTTTATCTGTGTCCTCTGAGCTTGGTGGTTAGATCGCAAGGCTATCATTATTGTCAAGAAAGAAACTGTTATTCCATTCATTTAGAATACGGGAAGTTCAGATCGCTGCGAGTCTAGTGCTATCGACATCTCGTCTAGAAGAATGAATGCTTTGCAATTGTGAACCACCAGTCTAAAAGAACTCAATAACATAAAAACCTACACCTGAGCTGCGAATTTCTTCGAATCACAGGTGGTTATGGATCAGTTTTAAGCAAATTTTGCATTACCTCGTTTAGGAATGACTTCATTTCAATATTTGATGTTACACAGTTGAGAGTTTTGTGGTCAGTATTTACAGAATTCCTATTAAAATTATTTCTGTACAAACTGTTATGCGTTACATGTGGCGGATCTCTATATCCATAAGTATCGGTTTGAGATTTTGTCATGATATTTTCTCCCTTTAGATTTGGATAATACCGATTATTGTCAACTGAAGTACCACCATCGTCGACAATGCATTGAATTGGGTTAGTTGGAGGTTGATTATTCGCTGACGACTTAAGACTGAAAGCATTTCTTAAATTATGACCACTTATATGATTTTCATTGAATGAAGAATAGTCAGTGTCGTAATAACGCTGACCAGAGAGCATTTGTAGATTAGGTTGGCCTGTATCAAACTGGTGTTGAACAGACTGAAATGGTTCGTTTATCTGATCCGAATAAGTAGAATTTTTCACCAATGGATCGTTGGTTAGCTGTGTGGGTGTAAGATGATATGGTGTGGGTAATTGTTCAAAGCATAAATAGCTCATATTCGAAGAATTTGGTAAACTATTATTAATTATCATTTCATTATTTGTAGAATTCGATAAATCAGACATTCGTTGTAAACACTCAGGTGCATGAAATGGGGAGAGATGACAAGACTGATGAACGGAGATATCAGCTTCAGGATCTACAAAGATAAATGTTATTAGGGTTCAACAAAACCTCTGTAAACAATGAAGAAGGGTATCAATACGTTACACAATTTTCTAGCCATATAACTGCCTTCCGTAGCGATTAATGCATACAATAAAACCACTCTTCAAGAAAGTAACAAAGCGCTTGGTCACATAAAGGCACCTAGTAGTTAGGCTACCGACATCCTAAGACTTCATATAATATCTCACAGGAAGGAGTAAATCCCACCTGCGTTTTGCATTGTATGTTTCCACCGAATTTTTCTTTATCTTCACAGTATGCCTGATTGATATTTCACATGGGGAAATAGTTTTGATCCTTAATTAAGATTGTCTAGAAGATAAGCTTACGAGACTCTCACAAAGTAAATGAATGTGGTTTTATAAACTATATTAGTGTTCCACTGACGAACACATTTAACAAACACTAACGTAGAAATGCTCATCATGATTAATTCAATGGTGATGCCAATATACGCGCAAAACAGTATACTATTGATTTTTCAGTTTTTCTGTTACGACGTTGGCATAGCAAATATCATGTGTGAGGGAGAAATGAAAACTTACTGGAAATCATCGAGTCAACCAAAAAAGGATTGCAGAAAACAGAGGGAAAAGGAGATATGCCACTGAAGCTGCGTATTCCAGTTGGAGTATAATCTTTGAAAGATAGGGCTGCCATTACTACCTAAATCTTAAACATATGTTAAAGCAATCCAAGTCAACACTGTACATCACATTCCATTCCATACAGAATATAGAGAAATCCTGATTTTCGTGAGCTATACAGTCGTAATTATTAAACAAAGAAATCTTTAATGGTGAATGGTGACTAGCAGTGGAATCGAGGATAACATGCATTTCGTCCTGTTTGGGACTCGTTGGCTGGATATACCTGCAGTCCTTTAGTGAGTGGTGATGTTTCCATCGAGGCTAGAACCCAGTGCCCGTAATTTCAAACACCAAAGCGTAATCCACTAGACCTCTTGGGTCACAAGAGCCACCTCTTCTGCAACGGGTCAAAATAATTATTGAATTGAATTTTAGATTTTTCCGTCGACTGATTGAACCGAAGTGCTCGGACTTGAATCCTGGATTCCACTGCTAGTCAGTGTCCACCAATTAAATTATAATTACATGCCCAGACATCGTCGAAGCATCTGCACAAGAAGCCGACATGTCAACCTGAGACCGAGTACTTTGGTCCAATCAACCGACGGAAAAATCTAAAATTCAATTAATAAAGAAATCTTTAGATCAATCAGATACTAGTAAACTTTGTGTAGAAGGAATTACTTTACAAGAATTAATATCCTGGGAGCAAATGAAAACAGTTTAAAATAAAACTCACAAATTGAAGGATTTGAAGTAATTACTCCTTGGCCAATAATACAGCTATTATTATTATTATGATGATGATTTAATTCATCAAATCTTTCCACTTCACTTGTACTGATAGTTCTATTACTTGGTGCTTTACTGCCTACTGAACTGTCTGTAGGTACAATAAGAATTTCTGGACTTGCACTATATAAATTATCCCATTTTGGACTGTTCATCATTGGATTAAATGGACTTTGACTTCTATTGAACAGATAAATAGAATTTTCAATCAAATGTCTTTCTACTGGTGTTGTCGCAATCCCTGGTATCAGAGATTTCTTGTAACTGGAATCAGTCATACTTGGATATTTACATGAGCCATTAGCATTGTTATTGAATTCATTGTTGATTGGCATAGCTGCTGTAGTTGTCGTATTTATGTGGTACGCGCATAGCGGTAAACAGCAATCAGCCATGATAGTATTCGATGGATGTTGTTTCATATTATATTTTCTAGTCCGAAATTGTGAATCTCTAACTCCTTGCCTTTTATATAAATTCCATCTCAGTGAACTTAGTAAAATGACAGCAGTTGAAACACCAGATAAGCCTAGTAGCATAATAAACCACCAGTGCTGATAAAATGGTTTGTAGTTTGGTTTTACTAAAACAAAAGATCAAAAGATATTAAACTATTCGATCACAGTAGAACCCAAATCTGTTAAACAACAAAAGTGATATACTTAGCCATAATCCTGACTAGACTTTTTATAATGCTATGACTTAAAGCTTCAGAATTTAGCTACATTGACAAAAGTTTACTGGAGGAATAGGCGGTAATGAATTTCGCTACCCATCACTGAATCGTAAAGTAAAATTGCCTTTTTTGACGTCTTAATGGCAAGAAGATCACCCATTACCTCATATTACTTGCAGATATTCTTCTATAAGCATTTTAATACAACTGACTTAAGAAGTCTTCATAAACGATTTCTATGATATGTGCAGCAGGATGGGGATGAAAAATAGCTACTGGAACTGGGTTTACCAACCAGTATTAACTGATGGATGCAAGTATTCCCGATTTAAGTCAAAGTATATTTCAACTGCGGTGTCTAGGTTTAGCTTGTGATTGAGAGGTGATTCACTGGATTCTTCTCCAAGCTGATTCGTAATAATTTATCTAAATTGGTTTCCAAACAGTTAGTCTAAAGCCATGCTGCTTATAATCGCTTTCCAAAATATCCAAATGCATAATAACAGCCTATTTTAAATAGATCTTTTCAGGGACAAATATAAATCTGGTGACAAGTTATCAGTTAACAGAAAAATTACAAACTACTTACAGTTAATGACGATCCAGTTTGACTCTTGACTTGGTAAACCTATTTGAAATTGATTAGCTGGCGACAATCGAAACTGGATGGCTATGTGAGCACTAGAATCCAATGGGACATTAGCATCAGCGAAAGCAGCTGCAATCATTTGATTAACAACTTCTTGATCTAATCCACCGGCTGTTATCGTCATACTTTTTGATGAAGTTAAATTGTTATTCGGATTTTGAATAACCTGACAGCTTGAATTCTCATCCAAATCGCTTAGAAGTCTTGTCAATCTTAACTCATCCAGATTGAATGTGTACAGTTTCATTGTACTGTTGATCATTACCACAGAATACCATTTATTTAAATTCCCTACAATAAAGAAACACAATATATGATTTGTTTCTAATCAGTTAGAATAAATTTCTTTTATGCACTGAGCTATTTTGTTTAGCTGTGACTTTTTTTAAGTCAGTATGCTTCCTCAACAAGATTATCATCTAAGCAGTCTACACAGTGTCGTTTCATTGGACTGGATGAAAGATAATACGTGTGACTGCATTTTACAAATTCTAACTAACATCAAAAAAAATATACTTCGAAGTTGGGGTTTATGAGGATAGTGTAGCGCCACCTGGCTAGGATGCCTGTGTCAACTGTGGTGAAGGAGAAATACTGAAAAAAGGGTTATGACGCCAAGAAATTTAAGACTGAAGCAAAATGTTGAAGTCTTGCAGTATTTTGACCATCATAAGTGTCAAAAATATTCACAGAAGTTTAAATTAATGAGTAGTGTGATCAAGATTTTTATAAGTTATCCTGTATTTGCACACACTGCTGATAGCAACAGTTCAGATTTGTTCAAATCTGACCTTTGCCTAGAGCAGAAATAATATAGAAAAAACCCCTAACATATGCTCAACATGTTTGTCCAAAGAAAACTTTTTCAGCTCCTTTATTAATTATAAGAACAGCATTTCAGCACTACAGAAGGGTATTCATGATTCAGTAAATATAATGCATACATCACAACATTATTTGTTTACTAAGTGGGTACTTTCTTAACCTTTGTCGCTGTTAACAGTTGAAAATTTGACGAACTCATTCACTAATCTTATCAAAATTATTCAAATTATCAATTATGCAGTGAACTAGCAGTGACCCCCTACTGAGTTGGAGAAGGCAACAACATCAAAACATCCACCTTACCTATGTAAACATCTTGACTTCTGTTATAACTGTATAAATTATATTAAATCGTTTTATCACCTAACTGGTATCTTAGTTTCTTCAGACAGAAAATAATAATATTGATAATTGAGCAAAAGACCTTTACAGTAAAAAAGAAAAAGATAATATTGATGTAGAAGTAGTGAAGTGAAATACAACTTACAAGAATGACGTGTTTCAATTAGAATATGTGAGATAGAATTAACTCCAGGTATTGCTTCACTCCATAAAACTGTAATTACAGTTGACTCATAACTTATTTTCGTTTGATTGTTATTAGGCTTTCGTTTTTCTGCATGCAAATCTTGAGTAGTATTTAATAAATCGATTTTAGAATTCCTACTACTACTACTACTACTACGTTCAGTAGTATTCATACTGCTAACGAAGACAACTGGTCGACGAAGAACAGGCGAATCGAAGGAACAGTATTTTTGATAGTTTGGATATATCTGAAATCAAGAATGTGTAGAAACTTTGGCGTAAATCAAATTGGCAATTACTGTCATTGACTTATTTAAGTAACCACTAATGTTGAAAAAAAATGTATTGCCCCACATAGAAGTGAAGAAAACGATAAAATGTGAAGTCAGCAGAGTTTAGTGTAATGTAACGTAACATAATCACTGGAGATACACAGACAACTAACCAGGATAATCAAAAAAGAAAGGTTCCACAGTTCATAGTAATCTACACTGAAAATCATACTCATTACAGATAAGTCACGCCATCACAGAAAAGAGCCATTAGTACTTGAATGAAAATTTTTGATTTGAATTATTGTTACTATCATTATTAATAATGCGGTGGGTTGGATAATTCAGCAAACGGTGAGGAGTGAGCATACATGAAAATGTTATCGCAATAAGAAGATTCTAGAAGATATGGATTTCGCGGATGATTTATGTCGATTCTCACACAAACTAGTAGAACTATAGGAGAAAACTAATAAGTTATCAGAAGACTCAGGCATCAAAAGCAGAAACTCAGGTGAATATGCAGAAGACAGAGTTGACAAAGACACCTAACCAATAATAACAACCATCAATCATCATCAACGGAAGAAGTTTGGAAGAAATCACCTTTACCATGTATATATATATGCATATATAGGCCGCATTGCTTCAATTATGGTTGGGTGGATGAGGACCCCAAAGACAGAGAGAATCGAAAAAGCTAGATAGACCTTCGTTAACCTGCAATCAGTGTGGAAATCTGCCTCACCCAACATAAGGAAGAAGATCCGGAATTTAAACTCCAGGGTCAAATCAGTGACTCTATATTACTCATAGGCAGGGCATGCGTGCTATCAAAAGTATTGGCAACAGCTCAACGCACATTCTCATCAGCAACTGCATCGGTTGGCTCAATGCAGAAGACTAGATGGCCAGAAAGGTTAAGCAACAAGAAACTGTAGCAATGAATCATTAAAAAACTTAACACACAACAAATACCCCAACGGAAATGCAGATAGACTGGACATACCCTGATGAGATCGTTGTGTTCTATCACTCACTCGAGTGGAACCGGAACAGAATGGGCAAGTTGGGTGTGGATACGAGGATGACGTGGAGGAGATTGTGTGAGCTAGGCATTGGAAACTACAGTGTGATCATGAAGCGGGTTTGAAAAGAATACAGGGAAAAGGTTGAAGTGTAGACATGCTATTGAAGGCCTATTCTCTACTGTGGGAACTAAGGTAATAATATTATCATAACTTTACAATGTGGTTAGTAATGAAGCCTGGTGACAAGTTGTTATGTTCTCGTCGCTAAATTATTATTATGGACTGGTCGAGAAACTAATAGTCCTGACGCGAGAAGGCGGAAATCAGAAGACCACTAGGTTTGCGATGATACTTCTATTGTCCAAACACAAGGAGACGAAATAAATGGTCTCACACCAAAATAAGTAAGTAATTCACAAAATTGTGTATGCGAAATATATATGAATGTTCCAGAAAAAAAACAAATCATTAGACAGTCTTAACATGAATGGCTAATTATAATGAAGTGTCGATCCAAATATACATAGCGAATATAGCAGACATGTCAACAACCCCACATATAATATGGATATATGTCACCAAGCAACGGACTGTCAACAAACACTCATATTATATATAATATAATATAAGGAGAATATACATTGTTAAAGGAGACAAGTTCACACAAGTGAAATGGTCACAGACTAAGCGAGCAAACAGAAAGAGAGACCAACATACACACACACACATACATATATATATGTGGATACTATCACAAGTTTTGAGCCTTAACTGACACAATGCAGATAGAGATCCATTGGTCAACCGATGTACAACACATAACATCTTAAATAAAACTTCCTGAAACTTACTGTTTCGACTAAAACACTGAAATCACAGATATGGTGTAAATTGACTGCGTTTGGTTGAATAGAATATAGCCAACAGTAGCTTGTTGATGCCCAAAGACACGCTGGTTTACCCCAACCATTATTTTGCTTTGATTGTGTCTGGGCTTCCACTCTGAATATGTAAGTTGTATTTTCATTTAAGTGATCGATTGTGTAACTTGTCGAGGCTGACTTAACCACCGCTGAAAACTGTTCTTCTGCGCCAATATAGTCTGCTGAACGTCTGTCTGGAATGTGAGAAACCAAGTTAAGTTGATAAGCCTAATTAAAGAACCTGAAGCGTATTGTTTGAAATATTATTTAAACTATATCAAAAACTCTATTCAAATGGTGTGGATCTGACTTCCACTGTTCACTCATTTTTATAGAGCTAAACAATAAAGCAGGTTTCTTCACCCAGCTAATGTCCTCAGAAACTATCGGCTGAAGGAGATCTTAGTGTGGTAAGTAAGGACTCAAGTGTTGAACTGTATATAGTGTCATTTTATTCATTTCATGCAGTGGGTGATATTACAGTATGTGACAGAAATCTGGGTAGTCTCTGAAATAAAACCAATGGCTTAGTCCTGTGGTCTACAAATTGAAATACGAGATTCAACTTCCAACCAAATCACCACTACACTGCTGTGGCTCACATTTCCATTTCGTTTTTAATCATCTACCATTAACTCAATAATAGTTTGCCAGATAGTCTTACTATTCACTATTATTATTAGCTAAACTCTATAAATACCATTATGATGCACAGATATTAAAGGAAACAAAGTTTCAATAAAACCTAAATTCAGCTGAACGCTTACGTTTACGAAATGGCTTGCTGTCACTTCTTAAAAAATTGACTTCACTCCATGTGACACGATAACCAACGAGCTTCCCATTGAGTTGATTTGGACGTGACCATTTCAACTGGATTTTATCTCTTGACAACCATTCGGAAGACACTTCGGACGGGGGTTCAGGCGGTGACTGTGATGTGCATATAAAGTTATCAGATGAGCAATGCCTTTCTGTAGGATTAATCACCTGTAATTGATCGTTGAACATTTCTTTATCACTGATGTTAGGAAAAAAAGCCTTGGGTCCGTGTCCACCAGGTGTGACAGCATAGACTGACATTTTGTAATAACAGTATGGTTTAATGAGTGTTGATTCGATTGGGATAGAATACAACTGAGTAATGCTTGTTGTAGAATATAATACAACACCATTCATATTTGGCTTGATAAATATAGGATGAATGTGAACAGAACTGTTTGATATCTCCTGGTTGATTTCACCAAATGAAATTACTTCAAACTAAAGTAAAGAAGGTGAGATAGAGCGGTGAAAACTACTTCGTGTGACAGAAAACTGTTTCAAATGACAAAAAGCAACACACATATGGCGAGAGAGAGGCTACTGATTGTAGACAGTGCCATTTTATTAAACAATATTTAATGTGAATTCACTTTACTAATACAACTGGTAAAGGAATAGGATAATTACATTAATTGAACTACTGATCATAACATAAATAAAGAGGAATTTAAGGTATCCATATAAGGAAAGAGTGCATCTAATCCTAACTAAGTTTCCCAATATAGTAGGAATCTTAGTGTAACCTTCAAAATTGCAAACTCACTGTGGAAGAAACTCCGTAGACTAGATGACCCCACTGACCCAGTTAGATAAAATGACCTAATCTACAAAATACCCTGCATGGACTGTGTGGTCAAATACATGAGTCAATAGATTGGGGTCAGTTAGATGATGGTAACAAGGATGGGATGGAATGAAAAAAGAAGAGTTTTGATATTTTAATATATACAATTCTATGACAAATTAATTTAATCTGATATAACACATGGTTTTACAGTACAAATACAAACATTGAACCACAAACAGACAAAGTTGGTTAAATCACTAGAGAAAATGATGTCATGTTAAACAAAAGCGTTAGATTGGTGTTTTCTCTATTAGAACTGATTTTTTTATTCTTTTACGTTCCCACTGGAATATAGGGCTTCAAGCTAGAGCTTAGAAGTTTCAGTAACACTGGTGTTTATTTTACGGGGTGGGGTTGCTATCCTCATGCCCAGTCTTCCCTCTTTACCAGAATTATTACTGGCTTAGCGAGGTAAAGGAGTGAGTCCGCCGGGGATCGAACCTTGGACCATCTGCTTGATTGGCGAGCATTCTATTGCTGTGCCACCTACGCACAAGATCCGATAGAAGTTGGTGAATTATCATCTGGAACTTCGCAGGAATTAAATACCGTTTAATGGTAAGTACTTGCATAGATTATATAGACTTCATGTCGGCATGATTTTATGCAGCACAATACCCAAGTATGCGAGAGATCACAAAAAGCTTTGGACTCGCTAAGTATTCTGTCTTGTGCAAATTTATTACGAAACAGCTTACACTGAATTTTGGATAAGATTAGTTAAGACAATACTCTTAGACAGAAAACACGGTGTGTCAGTAGTTTATCCTTCATATCTCCACCCAATTTCTGACCATTAGTTAAAGTTGTACATATTTGTTTCATCAGCGATTTGTATGAACTAATATTTAGTGGGCAAATGAGTTTTAATGATGATAAACGAAATAACATCTGCGTGAACAACCCATATTTCAAACATATCCTGTGAATATGAATTATGTCTTCTTCACCTTTCAGAATAACCGCAGACTGTTTTAGGAATAAAATCTGTGATTCTATTTCGATTCGCCATTTCTTGACTGATTTCATCGAGTGAAGTAAAACAGTTTACTTTTAAGCAATTGTTGATATGAATAATAGCAGTAGACGTATAATCCCAACTAGTGATATCATAATCATATTGTAAATTGACGAGAATCGCCTTATTCCTGACGATTTTCACTCGGAATAAACGCTAGCAATTTGTTCATTCATTCAGAAGTTCAGTCTGAGTGATACACATATCCATTCCTACTTCTAACTGCTTGTCGACATACTGCTGCTTCAAGAGTTGGTCGGAGTAGATTCCCTTAATCTTATACAAGATATGCAAGCACTTTGGTCAGATTAAGTATTGAAATTTATTTGTCTTGCCATTGTACCGGTTATTACTATTTAAGCTCACGGATACAATAGGATGGTTAAACGAAATGGATAGAATAAATGAACTTACAACAAATCCCAGGATACTTTTCAATTCACCATACTCCCAGGTACATTTAACTAGAACGTGTATTCGATCAGTTGAACAAATAAAATTCATTGGAGGTATTAACAGTTTACTCATTAAGGCTGGATAATGAAAATTACTCAAAGAAGTAGATAATAATGAGGATGATGGTCGAGTAAATGTTATCATTTGCTTCATTAGTACTAAATATGGTTGCTTTCGATTACAACCTGAACCACTATAGGTGAGAACTGATGATGCATATTGTACAAGTGAAACCAATGAACTACTTGTACCATATTCATTTACAGGTTCAATTGTAATCACGTAATACCTATTTGGTAGTAAGTTGAGTAACTCGACTTTTAAATGTCCATTTATGATTTGACTTTTTTCATGTTTTACAAATAAGTTGAATGATGTAGTATTGTCATCAGCGGGATTTGATGGCCAGACATTGTATGCAATATGGTACCAACCTGGTTGACTATTCCATGCACTATTGTCTAATACCTGCATGTTTAGAGCAAAAGTTACATAAAAAACAGGTGATAGCAATGTGTTAATTCTTGTCATTATGAAGAAGAAAACCTCAAACCATTTCGTAGAATACATCTTCTTTCAACTGCAACAATACTCAGTCTTTAATTATGACAGTAAATTACTATCTATAATATCACCTGCATTTAGAGAATGTGTTCTGATTAGTTCTATGACTGTTGACATCTTTGCATCACGTCGATATGCTGAATACAGATATCTGTGTGCTTTTAGGAGCTACTTTATGTCATTCATATAGTTAGCTTTACAGGTGCAGCTGTTGTTATCTCTGCATAGTGTGTTTTCAGTGAATTATTGATATAAGTGAAGAAGGTTCCCTCTTCTAATCGTAGTGGACCTTTGAGAGTGTAGTTACTACATGTAAACTTAGTATTCCAAACTGTTATACAACGGTCTGTTAAATAGTATTTGTACCCAGTTTGATTTGCAGTAGAATCTTACTTATGTCCGTGAGTCGTGTATTCTTAGCCCCATTAATTTTTAGTTCAACCGGCAGATGGTTGTAATAAACATTTAACACCACAATGAAGGTATTATAATTTTAAGTATGTATAAGTATTCATCACGTTTATATAAATAAAAATTCACAATTCTTAACCCAGTAGTGGATTATAGCTAGTTTAGTTCGTAGTTCAATAGTGAACCAAGTATATCTAATATAAAGTTGGTGCACGAGGATCAAGACACTGACTTTGTTTGAAAAAGCCACGCAGCAAGGATATAAAGTGGCAATTTAGGGTTCATGGAATGCTATTAACTAATAGTTGATGAACCCTGTTGATAGTGATTAAGATTGATGCATTTGTGTTAATCACTCAGAATCACCGAAATCTTGAGGTTCTTTATTAGACTTCATAAACTGTGTGTACAATCTTCACTGATGCAGGTCTATAGAACGGTATCTGTTGGTTCCTCTATTACTCTATCCGAGTGTGGTATACCACCAATGATAGATTTCAAACTTAAGTGAAGACAAAATATTGTTAAGATACTCCTATTTATCCAAAGTCACAGCAATCTGGTGGATACTAGACTGGTTAAAAATATAATTAACCAAGCCATGAGTATTAGCTTTAAGTCTAAGGCGATGACGAACATACTGGTTTTCTGCATTTACACTTCTTTGCTTAGACATGAAACCTGTTTTTGGATCATAGCATATTCGAGTGATAACTTACAGTGCAAACTTTATGGATGGGTTTTAACTGTAAATGCATTCTTCATTTTTTTTTCTAATTCACACTGATTTTACAAGAAGTTCAGTGTGAAGAAGGAATAATTAGTAATCCTCGATTTCGGTTATCTAATTTACGCTAAGTCAAGTATAATATTTAGATTTGTGATTAGCAAAATCACAGATTAACCTGAATGTCTTCATGGATGTAGTGAAGGATATTTGCAGAGGAGGTTGTAAGTGTAGATTCCTTCTATTGAACACTTTGTTGTTCATTTAAATCGTGAACTTGTTTATAAATAATCTGTTCACGCAGCGTAAAACAACACTGATGTGAAAAGATTCACCCAGCATTGACTTCATCACTATACTTTGTAGTGAGTCCGTGTATTCAAAAATGTCTTTCAGACTTTTGCAGATTACGAAGCAACCTTAATTGACTTTCCTGGAATAGTTCACATCTTATAATAAATAGTTGGTTAATCTCTTCATTTGCAAGTTATGATCCCCTATGCCTGCTGGACAAAATACTATAAAACGCAAAGTGAACACATCGAATGCTTATATACAAACTATCAGTAAAATAATAACCAAAACTCAAAACAACTCCAAGTAGCAACTTACCCGCCATTTCACGCTAATGTATTCACAATATTCATCAGTTAGTATATTGGTTTTCCTTGTTTGTTTATTTTGAGAGTTCCAGGTTTCTTCAGGATACTGAAGTGTTTTTAATTCAACTTCCAAGCGAATTGGACTGGAGCATGGTTTTTGTGCATCTGTGATCACAATATCAGTTGGTAAACTAAAAGGACTCTGTCCAGCATCGGTTTGAGCAGCCAAGCGAAATATGTACATTTTATTCGGTCGGAGCCTATTGATGGAAACAGTCATTCAATATAATATGATGGTTTTACTGGTAACATATTTTTTGTCTTATAAACATGAGTAAACACAAAGGCGTAGATTAAACAACTCTAGTACCCTCTCTTGCAAAATTCTTGTACCAGAGTCAGATTGAATAAGTCTTCTAACTCCTAATTGAAATACACTCACCAGATAATGAACTCTTGACAACTTTCTATCGAAATAGTGAGTTCTCAATTATAAAACAAGTTATTAAGTACCCAACTGCTAGCAGCAAATTTTAATTATATTATCGACATTTACAAACTGAAGCTAAAAATAAATGCAGCCAATATACATTCATTCTATCTTGGCTGTTAAATGATTGAAAATCTGAAGCTATTATTAGCCGCGTTATTGATACTGTTGATGCCGCCTAATTCTATGCATAGTTTTAAATTGCTACGTAATCACTGAAGTAATAATATGGTTGTTTTGATTTACAATACTGAATTATATGGTATTATAGGCAAATGGATTAACACCAATGATATTCTTAATTGTGGTGGACTGACTAGATTATGCGTCAGGCAGTGAGTGGGAAACGAGAAGACAGGGATATCCGGGACCGACGTGAAGAACCTAGAAGGCCTGGATTTCACGCGTGGATGATTCATATTTGATGTAACACAAAATCGAAGACTTACAAACGAAAACGGACAAACTGGTTGAAGAAGCAGCCGGCGAAGACAGGACTCCAAGTGAACATAGACAAGACGGAGGTGATGAAAATAACCAACCAACCAACCAACAACAACAGCAGCAGAAACATCCAGCGCCAATCACCATCAACGCGAGGAATTTGAAAGAGGTCACTTCATTCACTCACTTATCTAGCGAGCATTGTCTCCACTACAGGAAGTCGGAACAGACGAGGATGTCAAATCGAGTGAAAATCGGGAAGGCGAGCAAGAAATACATTCACTCATCAACCTGAAACAACCAATCTGGAAACCAATCTTCGTCACTCAGCAACAACAAAATTCTGTCGGTCGGATTTTCAATACAAACAGCGTCAAGTCAGTCAGTTCTTCTATACGGAACGGATCAGAAACTTGGCTTTCACAAAGAATATTTCCACCAACAGCCTGTTGCAGACCAGACCTTTATCAACAACTAACTGTCTTCACTGGCTGTATACTGAAGATCAGATGGCCGGGCCGGGTCGGGCCGGAAAGAATCACCAACAAGAAACTAACTGTGGGAACAAACAAACAAAACAAGAACCAATCGCTAACCAACAAATATTCAGGAGGAAGTGGAGATGGATTGGACACTCGCTCGCTGAGGAGGCCGCCGCTGGGTGACATCGCGCACGCGTCAGGCCATTGCTCGAGTGGAACCAGGCCGAAAGGGAAGCACGCGGCGAGTGGGATGTCAGTGCAAGGGTGACATGGAGGAGATCGTGTGAAGAGGAGAGGAGTTGAAAGAGTATGGACTAAAATGCATGGATGTAGGTGAAAAGTACAGCAGAAGGAAGACAGAAGCAAGTGGAGAGGTGTAGTTGAAGCCCTATGTTCCACTAGGAACCCAAGGGGAAAAATAATAAAAATAAATAGGTATATGGACGGACGAATCTCCACTTACTGATTAATCAAGCAGTCGAAGTTATCCACAAGTGCTGTTGCTCAAAATAAAAAGTGTTTTCTAAAAAAACACTGGAAGAGTTGAACACTTTGTCTATTGTTTTTTTTAATATCTGAGACATTAAAGTAACCTGTGTGATTAAGATTGCATTAACAGGAGAAAATGATTAGAAGTCTCTTAAGTTATTCATGTAACTTTGCTGTATCAAGTCAGTTTGTCATTATCAGCCTTTTCATGATTATACAAATGAAATAATGTGACCACTTTGTTTAGTCTTTACTGTCTTCACAGTTGGAATTTTCACGAAAACACCTACTGACTACTTTACAAAAGATGTTGTTACTGTGTCGTGCTAATAGTAATCATTTTAAAAATGTGTTTTTTTTCAGAATTCAATGCTTTATTCGTTGTTATATTTGCCATGTTAATAGCATCCAGCTAAGATTTGCGACAAAAATAACTATCACAATCTATCACAGTCGGTATCTCAAATGTATGCAGTGCTGAAAAGCATATTACATATCAGTTTCAGAATCTTTTGACATTTTGACGTATTATGAGACACGGTATTATTCTGCCTCCATAAATGGAGAAAGTCGGCTGTTTTGTCTACATATTCACACCGTCTTCTTATCTGTGCAGTTAACATCGAAAGTATGTTTAGATATGACGGAGAAGATGTGTAGCTCAGGTGAACGATATTGGCATAATTGTGTACACAGAGACGGATGGTTTAGTTTTTCCCATACCTATGTTCTCCAAATGCAACACAGGAGTTTAAGCTTAAGCTCTGTAGTTTCAGTAACATTGCTGGTTTCATTTTTTTTATTGGGGATTGTGTTGCTAACCTAACGTCAAACCTTCCTTCTTATCCAGGCTTTCTGCCAGCTTCAGTGAGACTTAGCAGTGCGTTGGCGGGAAATCAAACCACGACCACAAACAAAATGAACTGTTAATACAACGAGACAAGTTCCTCCAACTTGCTACATGGATTTGATTTCGGTCTCTTTATAAAAGTCCTGCAATCGTCATGTTAATGTGTATCACTGAGGTGACAATATCATTAGCCATTGTGCCTGTCGATGCATCAGTGTTTTTTAAACGAAAATTTCTCTGGAAGTTTCTAGGAGTTTTGTATTCTTACCAGTCTCCAAATTATGCTTTTCTGTATATTTTTTTCGCATATATCACTCAAATGATGGACATTTTTGCGGGCCGAGTTTTTATATAAATGAAATATGTAGCAGGAACACAGTCTTAGTTACTGGATAGAAAATAATCCTTAAAAGAGTATTACTCATTTCACTTTCGATTTCACAAACTTCATAAGCGCAAACGTATTTCTTTCGAGCACTGCTTATCACCTAGGCCTGAAACAGATCGACTCAACATATGATCATCAGTGTGCGTCAGTGGCACAGTGGTTAGGACTCTCGCCGACCATGCGCATGGTCCGAGGTTCTATCCCCTGCAGACGCACACCTGATACCTATGGTTGGCCTGCAAAATTCGGGCTACCGATATCCATGCTGAAAATTCCATACTTGTACCAAAAATACAGTGTGGAATCAAGCTGTAATAAAAAATTTAAAAAAAATAAAATATGACGTTACTTGTACAGTATTCAAAATGAGTCTGATTATGCGACTTATATAACCTCTTAAGTACTGACTATCATACATAAATACAGGTCAACTACACTTTATGCAGTGATTTTGAGGATACTGCTTGCCTAATTATCAATTTAATCATGTCCATTTAAGGATAAATAGGTGCTAGTGAAAAAAATATGTCCATGGATGGAGTGAATATCACCGAAAAGCGATGAATTAGTGCATAACAATCTGCATTCTAATTTAGATATACTGGGCTTTAGGTATTATTAATAGGAGGAATAATTTACCTCTGTAAGTTCGTTCGGCTTTATGCTGTGAATTAATAGTCGCATTACACACTAGTTCACTTATAATCGAAATAGGAAAACAACTGGTGTGTGTGTGTGCGTGTATATGCCTTTCAGTAGTTGAATTTAATAAATATGATATCAATTCAAATCCATCACCTCTTCCCTGTTGTAAATAAAGCATCTGTAAAGCAGTAAACAGAAACAGAATCATCAATACCGACATTGTTGATACAATTACAAACAGATAATTTCGGTCTGAAATACTCTACAAAATGTCTGTTGTTTGCTTCCATCAACACGTGTACACTTTCCTATTAAACTACACAGTAGATGCGTAACTTGCACAAGCCGAATTCACACAGAGAGTGAAATATATATATATATACAACTTTAAACATTTGTGACTAAACTTAGTGTCACACAGCTGACTTCAGTTACAAAAAAAAACAACTTGAACAATGATAAGTAAAGTGTGTTCATAAGACGCAAGCAGGAAAATATAAAATATCCCGCTGAGGTGTTATGAATTTGACAGAATACATAAATCAAAAATTCTTATATCAATAAAATATGATGAATTGAAAAGGCGGGAAATTACATGGAAATATCTGCTGCATTCCGTCAACCATCTACACCACACACACACACACACACACACACACAATTACACTCACGATTTCGCAACATGTGAAAAGTTAACAGCTTTTATGACTGAATAGAGTGTATTCAGTTGATTGCTTACTAATATTAAAAGTTATGCAACATGTAACACAGCACAAAACAGTCTGTATTCCAAGTGATATGCTGGAATTCCCTGACTGGTGATCATTCCAAACTACGCAAACTGACATTATATGCCATAAAAATACCACATAAATAGAGATATGAAATATGCAATTTAGTGTACAGTTCTGTCTTTGAAAGCCTCATATCACCATGACTTTCTTTGTAAACTCTAAATACTTAGACCTAAATACTCAATCTGCTTGACAGTACTATATGTAGTCTCTAGGTATTTTGAGTTCTCACCAAGAATTATAGCCAGCTAAAATCCCGATGGCTAAAAGAAATATCAAACTACCTCAGCTAGTTGAAATAACTGGAATTTTCACCCAGTTTCCTCCTTCGAATTTCTGTTTATGTATTATGATATATTCGGTGAATTTTAAGACTGGTTGTATTGTAATTAACCACTACTTTCATATTCCACTGGTCTTTAGACTAATTTGCTTCAATAAAGAGTAAAACCATAATTTATCCAAGGCAGCTAACTTTAGCATCAGTCTCTTTTACTGTGTCATTCGATAAGTCTTCTCCAAGGTTAAATTACAAAGCTTTTCAGCTTGTGCGCAGATATCGCACTATTCTACGTGTAGGGAGCACACACACCAACCAAAAATTCACCTCTACATTCACACCAACTGTATCATGGTCACCTATCTTGGTTACATCTTTGATGCAATGTTGTCACGTTTCTGTATCCACTTATCTATGTGTCTGAGGTTGCCCTTTTCGACAAAAAACGATTATATGATATTGTTTGATAATGTAGCATCACTGTAATGATAAATTAACATGCTTAAACCATAAAATAACAAAGGACACCAAATACTGGCACACGGTATGCTAATCAATTCACTTCTATTTTTTATTTATTTTTGATTACAGCTTGATTCCACACCGTATTTTGGGTACAAGTATGGAATTTTCAGCGTGGATATCGGTAGCCCAAATTTTGCAGGCCAACCATAGATATCAGGTGTGCGTCTGCAGGGGATAGAACCCCGGACCATGTGCATGGTCGGCGAGAGTCCTAACCACTGTGCCACCGACGCATACCAATTAACCTACTAACTAAGCCTTCCTTCTACTGAAGTATGTGTCTTCGGATTATAAAGTATCTTGAGTGATATGAAAATATTAAAGTGCACCATTTATGTAGAAAGGCTGGACTTGATGAACACCCCCCAAGAATTTACTAACTCAAACAATACATAGGAATGAATTGTAGTTGTATTAAATAAAAACATAAATATCTGAAAAGAGACAACATTTTTAACCTACCCATTCACTACGAAATCATTTTCGTCACCGAAATTCGGAGAAGGATAATAGTTTGCCCAGGTTACAGAAGTATAATTAATTGAGCTTCTGTGATATGATATATCATCATGGAAATTGTCTTTATTTATTTCTGCATACTGTAGAGTATAGTTTGTTACCGGAGATGTATAAATAAACCCAGATCCAGATTCAGTTGTTTCATTCGACTGTAATTGGCTTAGATAATTTGGCCAGGATAAATGAATTGATGTGGAAGGACAAAGTGTGTGTTGACTGTCAATCATCGCCGTACTGCTCGGCAATATTTGTATACTCGGTGTAGCTGGAGGTATTTTTGGTACTGTTTGATAACTTTCGACAGTTGTTACATATACCTTGAAACAATAAATTTAAGAAGGAGGTATTATCAAATGGCCGAAAAATTCTCTTAGGTGAAATAATTAGACTCATCAAAGAAAAGTGACCTTTTAGAGATCACGTTAACAAATTCAAACAACCATAGTTTGATGACCAACAATAAACTATCTATACAATGTTGTCAGTCAGCAGAAGCCAAAATTCATGGGCCATTGGATCAGATCACAGTGACTGAATGATATAAGAGCTTGCCTTGTAACCGGACAGTTGTGGGATCTAAACCAAGTTTGTAGGTACTGTCAAAGATTCACTGGTTTTCCAGTGATTTTTAAGCGATATCAGCTTGTATTCAAATCTGTAATCGAATTCCTACAAACCAACAGCTGAAAAACCACTATGGTCAAGATATGTCTGCAATTAAATCTAAATATTAGACCTTCCTTAAAATCATCTCAAGTCGAAGATCAGAACAATTTAATTCAGGGTTAGGCAGTGTACAACAGGTCACAGTTAGTAGGCAGAGAAAAAATGTCAATGTTTAAGAATTCCTTAACTGAGTCAAAAACTTGTACTCTTCATTTTGGTTAAAAAAAAAAGTACAAAATTTACACAATGCACAATATTAACTTCAACCTACACGAAAAATGTGTTACGCTAAACTGGTCTGGAATAATAAATTGAACATATGATATGTGTAGGGTAAAAGTTGAGTGAGTCACTTTAGATGTTCACCCTAGAAGTAAGATCTCTGAGACATTGCAAAGTGGTTACGCTATGTTATGAATTGGCAGAAGTTGGAATTAATGGGTTGGCCATTGGATCGGGTCCCAGAGAGTGGATTAATAGTCTACTATCTAGATCGCCTGTAACCAGGAGGTCCTGGGTTCGAACCCCAGTCGGTGCGTAGTAATCAAGAGTCCCAAACTAGGCTAACAAAACAACTGTTCAGTACTCCCAGTGATTCTCTAACTGATGTAAGCTCATGATGATGAAATCCTCCAACCAATCAAACTGAATCCCTACAAAAACAATACTTGAGAATTCTGATTTGTTTAAATATTCACGTTTAAATAAATTAATTTTTTAACAACCCACCACCTAAATACAAAGACTATTAAAAAACAAAAAAAAAATCTGCGAATTAATTGGAAACCAGACTACTTGGTTCCTTATTATTCAGACAGTATAAGACTTAAATACTGAGAAGCAGTCACAGTTTCCTAAGAATGTCTTAAACCCTCCGTATAATCACCGACTAACTTAGCTTCCATTAGAATCATTAGGTGAATGAATCAGTTTCAGGAGATTTAATCTCTGTGTTAGCCAGGAAAAATTCATCCAGCTATCTAGGAGTTTATTGAAATACACTTAATTTCTCCCACAGTCTGATCAACTATGTACAATGAATTTTGCAGTGTCTCAGAGTCATTAGAAAACAAGATTCAAGGCGTCGATGGATTAAGCCAAATTCAGACACTGAATATACCGTCAGTAAGTTGAATTAATCTGATGCAATAATGATTAGTTTATTCACCAGCACTAAAATTTCACTCTCCCCAGAGAGTGGGAAATAAATTAACTCTGAAATATATATATATAAAAAAAAACATATTTGCATTATCTCACGCAGAAAATAATGAAATTTGAAAGGCTGGCTACCTTGAATTTTAGCAGTAAAAAAAAATTAGTCCACATACCAATAATTCTGTTCTCTTTGAACATTCTTCAGAGTTGTTCAGTGTAGCATTATTCACCTGATTTGAATTGCTTTCAATTAGTTGAAACAAATATGTCGTATCCATTAACAATTCGTCTATAGCAATTAAATATTCTGAATAGTGTTTTTGTTGGTTTTGTTTTAATGACGATTTGCTTTCAGCAGCAGTTAATGCTCCTGATGTTAGGAATTCATCATTTAGCATGATATGATTATTGGCTTCTGGCCAGCTAATTATACGAGTGGATGGTAGACTTAAATTTTCGTAGGATATAGGGTCTATTCTCACCCACTGCAATGTAAATGTAGTAGCATAGCGCAAAAATGACCTTTGATTGACTGCTTTCGGTATCCAAGTGATCAGTACACGTGCTTTTTGGCTGTCATGTTTTTGTCTGGATAGTGGAATAATCCTGCGAAGTAATAAACGACCTTCTGCAATGGTAAAATAAGAATTAAAGAAAATACACAGTAACTATCACTCTTCAAAAACAGTTAAAGGTAAATTTTGATAACTAAATTTTCCCTTTGGTAGTGGTGATCAATAGAATGCTCTCCAATCATGCACGCAGGAGGAGTTCAAATCCCGGTTGTTGGATTGCCGAATCTTGTCAAGGAGGAAGGGTTGGGTATGAGGCTAGCAATCCCACCACTATTGAGATTGAGGTCTCAAGAGTTACTTGAAGTTCTGTTCCACTCAGGACGCAAAGGAGTGAAAAATGGCTGACTAACTGCAGAGAAATAGAGATAGGGATTTGAACAGTATACTTTTGGTTTACTTACCATTTCCTCTAACAAGTATGTATGTGGTTTTTAATGTCACCTAAATCACTAATATTGTGGCGTGCGCCACTGACAAGACTTATGAGCAGTATATAAAGAGACATTCATCACAACAGAAATACCAAATAGCAGAGGGATAGGTCTGACACCAAAAAAGAGAGGAAATGAACCAGTTTTGCGGCAGAACATGGGAAACATGAAAAGAAGACAAAGATGCACAATACGAAGGAGAGAAATGACACAAAATCGAAAATTTGTGCAAGTGGGAATTTTCATATAAGGTATACATAATTTCCCCATATGGAAATATTAAATTCCAAATAAATATTCTGTTACCAAATCTCTAACTTCTACTGTCACAATATAGGTGAATGTCATGCGAGTGATGTGTCATTCAATTATCCATGCATCGTCATCTCTTCAGTGCCTTTTCAACCAGTTTCACTCTGTCTCTATTCTAGGGTTATTAGTATGCTAACTGTACACAGTAGAGACACAAGTTAAATTTGCTAATTAAGTAAGCGTAACGCATAACTTCTCCAATGCTTTTAAAAAACTAAATGTTTTGACTATATAAAACAAATTTTTAGGAAGCTGAAATTAAAACGTCTTTTTTTTATTCCATTAAAATAACTAACAATGTTTACATAATCACGCAATGTCTGCACACACGCAGTTGCATTATAAGCAAAACAAGAGAGAATTCTTTCCGGTACAAAATACACAAGGATGGTATTGAACGACATTAAATAATAATAATAATAATTTATACCATCTAGAAGTAAGTATAACCTCACCTAACCTGTTAGCTCACTAGTTGACTAGTCGTTTCTGAGCCCAGAAAAAGCATGAAAGCTGACGTATGACTAGCGTCCCTAATATGGAAAATCAACGTAGTCGCTACGGAAACATCAACGTAAATAGGGGGAACAGTAAGAAGTTAGCGTGTTTTTATACCAAAATGAGCTTCTGCCTTATTACTCGTCCACAAAATACAATAAATGGATAAGATTATTATATTACTAGTGTAAATTATAACAGAATGGGTGATATGATATTGTGACTCGTCATATTCCACGTCACCTGGTTCTTTCAATAAATTTCGAAATCTAGGCACATAATTTACACTGCTGCAGGTTAACGCTGCAAAACGTCAGATACAAATTCATGGTGTTTTACAGTCGAACTGTATCTTGGAGATTCAGTTATCTTTCTACATAGTGGTAATAGCAGAGCTGTTAGCAATAATAATAATAATAATAAATTTACAAAATTTCCTAAAAGCGTTTTACAATACACTACTCACTTTGCTTTTCTTCGGCAAGATTTAAATGAATAAATACTCGTTCTTTGTTATGACTCTTATCATCAATTGATTGACCAGCTAGTGTTAATCGAAAACTCAGATAACCATTGAAGTAGCAAATTTCACCAACATCAAAGAAACTTTTCAATGAGAGTTTTAACACGTTCTCATAGAATGAATCACTCGATTGCATAGTTTTACTTCTGAATAGATTTGTATCATTGAATGGAATGAATTTAACATAGCTGGGAGAATCGCCATACTGAAATGTTGCGTTCACATAGGCATGAGACGATATTTTTTTGAATATTAGCTAGAAGAAAAAAGAATAAATTGACAAGTTACAAAAGACAAAAAAGGATGAACACATTTTAACCTCTTATAAGAGATGAACATTCTTTTCTTTATCAATATTCATAGATCCGTTGACATTCACAACTAAAGACAATAAATACACTGTTGTTTAAGTTCTTTTAAATTAAATTTAATCGAGCCCCGGTGGGTGCGTACTGATGAAGAGTTCCAGACTAGGACGAAACAGCTGTCTAGTACTCCTAACTGGTTTTCCAATGGTTCTGTAACCAATGTCATCTCATGATGAAATCCTGTGACTAATCTGTCTTCAAAAATCATAATACTCTTTTCACCTATTTATACAAAAATATGATTGATCGGTGAACTGTTTTATAGTGCATTGTTAGTCAATAGAAGGTAACACATACTTTTCTTGATATCTAGACTCACATGGCCGAATATCTTAATTAGCTTCTATCAGTAGCTTATTACTTCAGTCAGTGCTTCAGGGATAGATTACTCGCCAATCACACACAATTTTCGGTTGGTGAACTCCTAAACCTCATCTAGGCAGCAGTAAGCCAGGGAGAGAGGGGAGGGGGTTGAGCGTAAGACTAGCACTCCTACACTACTCAAGCAATACAAGTACTGTTGAAACTTACGGGCTTCATTCTTGAAGTTCTGGGTGCCACCAGGAGAGCAAGAGAGTTCAGAAAAGAGTAGATGATTGCAAATCTAAATAAAATGAATGGATGATAGCATCTCATGACTTCACTTCAGTTGAAAATTAGTCAAATCCTTAAATGATAATACTTTCTAACATACTGACTCAATCAAATCAAGGAAGAACACTTCGTTCAACCATTCAGTTTTTTCGAAGATGCAGTTAAATAAAGTAAAAACATTTCGCAGCTATTGTAATACAACAGAGCTTTTAAAATTATGATATATAATTATAAAAACAAAATAAGTAGTTCAGCGAAGAGTCTCTTTTCGGCGAAATCATTCACTGTACAATCGCGATTATAAATACCTTTATATATATGTGTATGTGTGTATAATTCGTTTGTCCGATAAGAATAGGAAAGTAAGTTTTCTCATCCTCCGAACGAAGGAAACAACTTACAGATGCCCTGAAAGGAATGAAAACCAGTCAATCAATCTAATGTGATCTCTTTGATCATATCCGATCGACTGCTTCAATATTACTAAGACTTTATGGTTTACCGAAGATACACAAATTTGGTCAATCAATCAGTCCTATTCTAGATAGTCAGGTCCCCTTTAAAATCATTCTGATTCAAAATGGTTGGCTGATATTCTGGAACCCATAAGGAAACATCTATGCATATACTTGTTTCGTAACACCTTCAGTTCGTTGACTGCACACAAGATATGAATGTTAATAACAAATGTATTTTATTTTTCCACATCAAATCACTTTTCACTAATGTCCTACTCACAGAAACTGTCTGTTTTAAATGTAAACACGTAGATGACAACCACTTCAAAATTGGAATATTACCAACTTGTCTGGAAGAACTGCTTCCGAAGTGTACTCTCAAAGTACAATTTACTTTCAATGACACTATCTACAGATAAAAAGTCGGTATTCCAATGAGATCTCCCTTGATCCATTACTAACAAACTGCTTCGTGCCTAGCCTTGAGAACGGTCCACTCAAGTCGTTCATTGACAATTTGCAACTGTATGAATGATACGTAGCTGACGTTTTCGTCATTTGCGGTAACAGTTATGACCAAAATCAGTTGCTACAAATATTCAATAACTGCCGTCGGGCAAAAAAATTTACTCGAGAAATTGAATGTGTATCTAAAATTCCCTTTCTTGATGTGCAATTAACAAGATGAACTGATCGGACCTTAATAAGGTCAATCCGTAGAAAACCCACTTCAAAAGGTCAATTAACGAGTTTCTACAGTTGGGTACTTAATGAGCGGAAACAAAATCTGCTTAGATTCATGAAACTTGGATCCAACACATTTGCAGTGTTAACGCCCTGGAAGCAGAACTGTATCTTCCGAAAGAAACCTTCATCTCAAATAGAAACCCACCAAGATTCTTCGACAAGAATATCAAACCCGAAGGTTCAGAGGAACGAAAAATCCCTTTTTTACAAACGATAATTTACATGAATCTGGAAACTGAGCTTGCGATATCCCCAAGAGAAGAATTTCAGCATCTTTGGAAAGAATATTCTTCGCACCATTCTTAATAGTAGTATTCTCCAGTCGTTTATTGATCTGCAGAAGGCTTAAGGACAAAATATCGCATCTGACCACTTCTATTTTATACATCAGTTCACCTGTTGCTGTGGAGCCAGCCAGTCACATTCATAGTTTGAAGCGTATCCTATCCAAAAGGGTTCAACAACACTATCCCACAGCATGGCTGCAAAACGTAATAGTGGCTGTATAATAAGGAGTGCGATAATTGAACATCTCGTCAACAATGGTCATTCCTTTTCAACAAACATTTCCTTCAAACTGATCTACAAAGTGAAGAACAACCTACCAAAGGCAATACGCTTTCGTCTCCTTGGTTTTACTGAAGCCTTAGCTATTCAGTTGGAAAAAACCAGAGTTATGTACAGAAAAAAACCCATCGAACCACTTTTAATACCATGGTAAAAACCGTTTGACTTCTACTGACTTTATATTTGACTAGATATTCTTACTCCTTTTACATTTGTAATTTTTAGAACTCTTACATAATTCCATATTTTACTCTTTATTCTTGTATGCATTCTAATCACAGCTCACACATTAAACTATTCATCTTATTACGTAACTAACTGTATTACACTTATTCAACTTCTTTTATGTAGTGATTAACATTAATAACTATGTTTTTTGACAGCACATAGCCACTACCTCCTTACCCTGATCTTCACCCCACCCCCCTCCGGAGTTACAATTTGATTATTCATCACATTTTTGAAATGTGTTGACAACAACAACAACCCTAACTAATTCTTTATTTTTATTAAACAACCCTAGTGTACACACATATATATAAAAATAAGTAGCAAATATAATTGCGATTGTACAGCTAAGTGTGAATGAATTTGCCGCCGAAGAAAGAGACTCTTCGCTGAACACTACGTGTTTTGTTTTCATTCATGTCTGGACGGGGATTATTCATCATTGGGAAAGAATTTTAACCAGCGAATTCAGTCCGACTGAGATTCATGCAGATGTGTAGATGTAGATGTAAAAATAAAACATAAGAATTTTTAAAGGCAATTAGTCGCGTTTAATAATTTCGACAAAACAAAACGAAAACGTAATTTTTTTTTCTGAAACCTATACCGTATTTCAGACATTCTGATCACACATATACTCGTCAGACAAATTTGTATAAAAGACTAGAGAATAAAGGATCAAAATTGTATGAATGGCATAGGTCAAACTGTTTATGTGTCAGGATCACAGATAGGAGGCAAGAAAATAAGCAAAAGGTTTTGAACTTATTAATAAATAAAATGAACCTTGAACCTAAAATTGCATTACCACGACAGATTTGAAGTAATGAGAAATAGTGTCTAACTCCATTATAAGAAGTTATAAGGAGTTATACTCCACCACAGTGCCCAAATTTTATACTTATATAAATAATGTTTAGGCACGGAATAGGCTTAATCCTTTTCACAGGTTAAAACTTCAAGGAATTTAGGTATATGATATTAAAGTGTTTTATATATGGGTGTAAAGGCACCAGTGAAATCAACTTTATGACTTGTCTCTGTGTTCTGCTTTCAGACAGATAGCGTTGGACGTCTATTTCAGGGGTCAACTTAACCAAGATATTTTATCTGTTCTTGTGGGCACTTAAGAGTCTGTTCTATAACACTGACCTGCAGTGATCGATGGGTCCCCCTAGGCCTCTGTAACCACATATACATGGGTAAATTTGTAAACAAAGAGGGATGTGATACTATCATTCGGATGCTATTTAGGGTTTACAGGACAACATGAATCTCATTTTCTTTATTAAAATGATTTCAGCTAAATAACAGGTTCTGTGAGTATTGCTGTGAGCATTTTATAAAAATATAGTTGACAAGTACGTATGTGATCAGATTATCCGAAATGTGTTGAGCAGATACATTACACGTTTCAGATAAATTACATCTTCATATTATTCTCTTGTACAGCATAGGAAGTTGACAGCATCTTTCGTTGTTAACAGTGCGTCAAACAAGACACCAGTACATCCAGTGGAATAAAACTGTGGTATTTACTATCGCTGCATGCCATTTACCTTTTTTAATAGTCGCCACTAAAGATTGTCTAGAAGGTACTGTTGATAACTGCCTTGTGTGTATGTGTATGATAAACTAGTGACTAAAATTATATTGCTTCTAAAAATAGCATCCCAAGAGTATAAGGATAGCGTTTTTTTAACAATGAGTTTAGAGTAGACTAATACACATTAAGGAAAATGTTCACTGTCTCATCTTTCACTCACGTGGTAACCTGACGGTGGCTCTCCACACTCCACAGCTAGACTTTCTTTCCATTTCAAAATGATCCATTCATCTGTATATGAAACTTTCAAGTTATACCCAGCGTAATACGTTTTTGTAAGCCAAAGCGGAACTCGTACGTCTGTCTTCTTGGTCACTTGTTTATTTACTAAAACAGGCGTAACAGTCATTTCTGGTCCCAGCAACCACTTGTCAGATATGCCAGTTTGAATACTTGCAGCTCGTATAGTCACTGAATATTCACCGTCACACTTTAAATTGTTAACTGTATAATCAGACGCTGTGCTATCGTTGATAAATACCTGAAGGTAAACTAAACCGCAATGGCTTTGAACTTTTTGAATATTGATCGTACCATTTAAGCTAAACATGTGTTCATGATTTGGATATGTTGTAAATGAATTCACTGTGTGTTTGCTTTGATTCTCTTGAATTGTAATTAGAAAACCTTTCGGTATTCCATTCCAATTTTCTCGAGACAAAGGCTAGTGAAAATTAAATAGGAAGAAATACAAAGTTGCATATATTTTACTGAGACATGTTGATTAAAACAAACAAGTTGGGCGGAATTTCGTTTTTAAAATATGAGTGCAGTGTTTTGGAATTACTTTCAAAATTCGCCAATAACTGCTCCACAATAACTGGGTGATTGACATAGATTGGTACGTTGTATTCATCACTGGCAAGGTGAAAAATAAGGGTGTGGTTCTTATCAAACAGATGCTAGACAGCTAACTCTTTCTTGAATAAGGGCTGCGAAATCCGTCGATACAGAACCCAAATATATGCTCAAGTATGATGTCATTGTCTACCGAGTAATAGGCCTACCTTTAGAATTATTTGTATATACACAACTGCAGTTCCCTGTAACACTAGTCCACATTCTATACATACTTTACTAACAAAACTTCCCAAAACCGAGAGATTGCCAAGTACTCCTAAGTTTTAGCATAAAAGACCTGTTTTCTGCAGACGTTCATTTAAGTTAATCCTAAAAGCATGCACTCACCTGCCATGTAATTTTCATTCTGTCAGAATCGATAATTTGTGCATAAACCATAGATGGTGAAGTATTTGGTGGCTTAACACCAGTTTTGAACCAATTAGATGAAATTGAATATGAAAGCTTCCTATTGACTATATGATCGTAATTACCAAAAAGCAGACCAACTGGTTGCCATACTTCAATACGATAATAAGTGTAACTTGACAGATTGTGTAATTTAAATGAAAATACAAGTTTAGTTCGGTTTATTGACGGAGACTGGAAATTTTGTATTGAGGAAAACTCCATTTTTGAACTATAATTGTATTTGTATGGTGTTGAGATACGCTGGAAACAGTAGGAAGTAAGTGAGCAATTAGGCAATAACCAAACAAAACACGAAAATAACACAGGGCATTAATATAGATGAAATGATCAGTGTGAAGGTATTATCATTATTGTTATTATTATGATTATTTATTCCAATCGTCGCTCTATCTGAACTCATTAGAAAATAATTGATATTACAAAGTTCAAGGATGAAACAGACAGGTCAGTAGTTCGACACTAATTCACCTTTGCCTGTCATACACTCAAACTTATTATTTGAGACCAGAAGGAAAACATGTGACATTAATATTCTTTCCACCTACCATGTGATAGCATTCAGTGTTGACAAACATTTGGTACCACTGTTCATTTACTTTCAATTATGTTTTAAATACTAATGTCACAATTTAGCCTGCTAGTAAGACGATCAAGTGTGAAATCATGTTAATTTCCTAGATATATGCTATCTTATCTGGCACTGTTCACTGATCCAATTAGTTCGTAGAGCTTTAAGCTTATTCAGATAAAACTTTTCAGCCGTTAAATGTAATGTAATGTAAGTGGATGAGATTCTGTCAGTCCAAACGAAGTAAGTTATCTCAAATTATCTCTTAACGATCAGCTCATAGATTTTATTGTTGACATTCAACGGTCTTTTCAGTGTATGTTCAATCCTTCTGCATTCCCTTTAGCATACTTTTTTGATGATGATGATGCTTACCTTTTATATCCACCTGAACTTCAGCACGGAGGAGAGACAACTGCTGATGACAGTTTGCAGTTTGCTGGTAATGCTTCTTGTGATGTGTCAAGTCTCTGACTTGACATTAGGGCTGATGATTCGGATCTTGTTCCTTATATTCAGTGCAGTAAATCTCCACACCAAATTTCAGATCAATGAACGTCTGTCTCACTCTTCTGATTCTACCGCATGTAGCTGAAACAGTGCTTCCTATAGAAGTGAATGAAATGACTTCCTTCAGAATTCCCCGCTGATAGTGACTGCTTTTCATTATCGCTGACCAGTTATTCTCATCACCTTTGTCTCCCCAGCATTCGTCTGAATTCCCGCTTCCCCTGTTTTTTTCTGCAAAAACAGTTGATTTTCGCCTGCTGGTCATCGAGCTTCTGTTACATTAAACATCAGTATTCTTCGAAGTTCAGACCTTCCAGTATCTTTTCGTCTGTCCAAAGTATAACTGTATTGTCTTGTGTATGCCAAACACAAGACGGAGTCTTCGACTAAAGAAAACTCAGTTCTCAGTAGATTGACATATGTTTCTATCTACGAAAGGGGCTGTATTCTAATGGTCGTGTTTCAATACTCAACTAGTTTCATGTAGTATAGTCCAAGATATGCTACGGTTTTGCCAATAGCTTTTCCTGTTCTGTGGTGTAGGCATTTGAAATGATATTTCCTCTCGCATGGCAACATTTCGAAAGAAATTACAAATCAAAAGTGTTCTGTATTTTATTTGTAAGATAAAAAGGTCAAATTTCGATTCTAACTGATTAGCAACTTACTGACTTGATAAAATAGGCTTATAATCAAAGTTGACAGATATGCACTTCCCCATTATCGATCATTCTTTCTTTAATCACACGGTATTCACGTATTATGTTTTTTTTTATAATTACAACTATACGGTTTGCAACAGTATAAGAAGGGTCACTTAACTATCTGAGTATTCATATGTCGTTGTCAAAAAGCGCTACTGTAAACTAACTGATCAAAATTCACTAATGAATATGTTCATACTTTTAAACCGCCTACTCACATGTAGCTTTTTGCAGATAATAACGGAGGTGATAGGCATCAAAATATGCACCGGAAATTGCTAATTTTCTGTAAGTAGCTTCAAAATACATATGTACATCATATATCTCACCAAATAACAGTTTTGTTGACAGTACTCAGTAATATAATAAATACACTGTGTAATTAGATAAACATTTGTTTTTGTAAACCTGACACCATTTATTTAGCTAAAATAATAAAGCAACTATAAAAATCCTTTCACTGCTCGTGAGATTATAAAAATAAGTGTGAGATAAGTCTGACAGATCTGATTAAAGGCGTTGTACTGATCACAGTCTTCCGGTTTGTCAACTTATTTTAGCATCAAACTGCCTCATTTCTCAGTGGGTGTTTAGTTAATCTTCACATAGAAAAGATTGAACATCGAAAAATTTACCATTTCCTAAGGAATCTTGCACCACAAATTGTAATAAGTAGGACAGCTGCTATGAATTTGGCTTTTCAAGAAGAGTTCCGCCAGGGTTTAAAACGTTTTAGCTCTGGACCTGGGATCTTTAACCATTTTCTACTTAATGCATGCATACCTCACAGAAACTAGGCTTTCACTTATCTTGAAGCATAAAAAGGTAACATTCCCTGACATATTTATATGTGTCTGGTGACAAATATCCTCTAGAACTATAAAATATTGACTTGAAATTTCAACTGAAGAGAGTCGTTTAACGATTACGTATCTGAATGAGTTTTAGAAAACATTTTGGTTTGTAGATCACAAAGTAGTAACAGATCAGTGGCTTTCGAGTCTATTGCTGGAAGTCAATGAACTCAATTACTATAAAGTTATTGTCATTATCTTATTTGTTACCATAACTAATATTATTTAGCCTAACACTTTACCTTTATTATGTAGCACAACTCAGTGTTTAAAGTGTGTTATAATTTGAACAAAAGTGTTCTTCACATCTACTCTCAACACTAGACAGCTGATACTAATTAGCTAAAGTTTCGAAACCTCACACACAAAGGGTCAGAGTTCAAGTTAAAGAAACAATCAGTTCCAATACAAGTAGCCTAGAGGGTGTGAAAACTCACAAAAACAACCAGTCACGTTCAAGGTCACCAGGAGAAATGACTAATAAACTCATGGAGAAATCTAAAAGCTCACTTCAAATTGAAGTATGCGCTGAAGATGTTGCCTAGTAGGGTGATGAAAGCTTCGCAAATTAACTGTCTAGCCCAGAGAACACAACCACATCAAATTATCCACCTGAGCTACAAATCTTGTCCGTCATATCTAGTTTGAGACCTGTTTGCCCGATTCCTGAGTAGAAGTGGAGAAATATCTGCCGTCCACTGAAGGCTAATTCACTCTGATGCTCTTGAGTTAGACGTCTACTCCTCATCCCTGGAAGGAATAATATGCTTTTCGAGTTCTCTGTAATGATTTTCAGATCCCATGTCATAATTGTGAACTGAACGAGAACCACGTGTAGATTTAAGTATTGAACAAAAACTTTCTCAGTGACACATCCATAAGTAAAAATATTTTAGCCAACTTCAGTTAACATATTATGAAATTAGTTATGTCAGTAAACCACAAATAAATCTGAGACACAGTCGGAACAACTTGTCACATGAAATGAAGGATATGTCTGCTGTGAACACTTGAGGAGGAATCAAAACTCTTTCTAACTGTCAATACTTTGGATAAGACATGTAAGCGAACAGGATTTTCCATTTAGATTATACTCTAACGTGTGTTAGCTGTAAATACGGATAGAGTTCCAGTCAGTGATGGAGATTTATAGGTCAATCAAGAAATGTCCTATACTGCTTGGTTATTGTCAACAGTAATAAAAATTTCAAACAGCCAATCACTTTGATATAATTAGATGAGACATTCAAGAGATAATATGTCACAGTTCCATTATAACTGTCATGGCCGTCAATTACAAAAATGTCAGCTTGTAATGACACATGTATCCCTATAAAAGGAAGGCTTGACAGTTATCCTCAATTATATGCGGTAAGAGGAAATATAAACAGCTAATGACTTCATTAGGTCAAGTGGTCTATGGCAGGCAAAACTGAAATTCCCTTACTCTATATCTGATGAGTCTAGAGTGCTTCCATCTTATTTAATAGCCTTGGTTTGAAATTAGGCTAAAAAATTAAATGGAAATTTAGTTAGTACCGTTTTTTTGCGACCAGTTACTGATCAGTGTTTCGCAGTAGACTATTCTACAACTTTACTGAGTCTTGCTACATCTACCATTGAGATCTTGGCTACATACTGTTTGTTTCACCTATGTATTACCGCATGTGTATATGAACTTGTAGACATGGAATGTGTTTATAAGGTTGTTTAATTCACGAAAAGAGATTTGCAGCTTGGAATATGCCCTTTTTGTTTAACAAGGCGTTTTAACTGTCAGTTAAATTTTTTATTTTATTTTTATTTTATTTTATTATAGCTTGGTTTCACACAGTATTTAGGTAAGCGTATGGAATTTTCAGCATGTGATATAGGTAGCCTAAATTTAGCAGGCCGACCATTGATATCAGGTGTGCGTCGGTCGTGGATCGAACCCCGGAACATGTGCATGGTCGGCAAGAGTCCTAACCGTTGTGCCACCGACGCACATGCTGCTTTTTAGATAGGTAGGTACCTTATCTGAACTATAGCATACAATGAAACTTCTAGGAAACATATCAGACTTCATGACTGAATTTGTGCACGGCATTTATTGGACAAATAGATTGTCAATATAGTCTTTACTACACGTTGAAGACTAACTAAGAAACGTTTGTAATGAATAAGCGGTACAACTAAAATAGGAAATACCTTTCATCTCATCCTTGCTTATGTAACGCCAGACTAGCAGGTGTACCGGAAAATGCAGCTATTAGTAACAACAAAGTTCACACTTATACAACTTAAATAAAGTTAATTGGTGCCCCAAAGCATTTTATTTCCCGTAATTATTCCCATCACATAGTGTTTCAAGACTCTATTTGACCTTCTATTCCAGCGTGAATACCTAGGCTAACATGCACTTAAAAAGGCTTCCCATCAAAGCACTGTCATCTTATCTATAAGTAATTCTTTGCAATCTGAATCAGACATTTTTTCTCAACTTTTAAGGCGTTTCTAAATGTCACTCAAAAACAGGTGAATTTCACCGGTTGTGATATAATCACAAAGAAGAAGAATAAAATGAATTATCAGAAATAAACGACACTGATGGATTTAGGAAAT